TATACACAGAGTCGCAGTTGAGCTAATTTGAGTAAAATCAATGGCATTGGTCAACATGCAGCACAACGACTTTCCCTTCTTCTATGTAGTAATATTGGGTGTGCTAAATTCAGGGTGGTGTAATCATTTGGATAATATGATTACATAGTTGCTAAATAATTTTCAATGACCCATACCTAGCAATAACCGGGTTTCTAAAACTGTATGCAAAAAAGCATTTTCTGAAGACAAATCCAAGCTACCTGGAACAAAGGGGAACACGTGGGTTTGGCTTGGCTGAGAGGCATGACAGATGTGGTTTCCACAAGTGTGACCCAGCAGAGGGGAAGACTTTGCTTTCTTTGGAAATGCTGAGATGTGTTTGGAATGGTGTGAAGATCAGCTTTCTGTCTGCATTATGCAGGATGTGTATTGAATTTTTGAGTAACAGTAGCCCCACGTAGAGCTAAACTATTCCTATAACATTGTAAAGAGGATAGGGTTGCCTTCACAAAACCTGTTCTAAATGGTGCATTTCTAAATTGCAAGCACATTAATTGAAAGGATTATCTTGTAAATTTCTACCTCAGCACCACACCTTTTCCTGTGATTAGTGTTTCTGGTCTTTTCACCCTATGTAATTGCAGCCAGGAACACCAGGTTAGGCAGCTGCATGGAGCTGTCATCATGCTGAATACACATTGCCGGCTGTGCTATGCCTAAAAATTGTCTTGGTGAGAGCTTAGGCTGACAAGCTTAATGCCAATATTGGTAGACTTGCATTTGGCTAATGACATTTGAGCTTTTCCTCCTCTGCCTGCTATGAAGGCCTGTGGATCAGAGACAGACCATTGCCAAGGTGGCAACATCAGGGACATTGAGACTTTGGAAGCAGGAGAAACCTGTCAAAAGATGAGCTAAAATTTGTGAATTTGTCAACTGGTGCAGGGCTGTTTTGGAAGCAACACTAGCAGATTTATGGTTTCAGGTGGAAACAATTTAAAGAAGGTCATTTTGAGTGAGTTTTGCTTGGAGGTTTTGTGATTGATTTGGACCAGAAATTCAAAGTGAAGCTGGAACAAGGAAACACACATAGATCAGAATGATTGGAAGACTGAGATAAGCTCTTGTAAACCTAAATCACAATTGATTTATCCCATATATATACACACACCCATATACACACACACACACGCACGCACGCACGCACGAACATTCAATTGATTTATAATGGCTAAATTCCCAGAAACACTCAGTGTAGAAATTTTATTCTTACCTTACAACAAGGTTTCATGATCATTATTGGCAGGGCTGTGTGTATCTTGCAGGTCCCACAGGGAAGATGAGAAAGCACAAATATTGTGGTTGGGTGCAGAATTCAGCTTTGTAAAGACAGCTGACTTTTAAATTTAAAGCGAGCATTTACCTCCTACGGTTACAAAGGTATGTTTGAAAATGAGTGGGTCTACCTCTATCGTCAGTGTCATTCGGACTATTGCTAGGATGTTTAGAAAGGCTTATACTCCAGAAGGTTTACAATAGTGATATTTTGGCAGATACAATGGAAGTAAAGTGTTCCATTTTTGGGATTGCAACTCTCCTTACACAGGGTCACCCAGTGGAATTCACTGATGGTGGAACAAGATGAATCATGGGAGAACCTGGCCATGAAGACCACTAAATGATCTTGTGTCAGCCTAACCTCATAGGGTTGTTGTGTCAATAACATGGCGACAGGGAAACTCAGTGAATACCACCTTAAGCTCCTTGGAGGAAAGGTGGGATGGAAATAAATGTAAAACTTTTTAAACATTATTTCTCCATATCTCTCCAGCCTGCCTCCCCCTCTTTTGAACTGGATGAGACTTATGTGTGGTCAGGTTTAGAATCAATCACCAATCAATCAATCAATCAATCAATCATCAGCAGCATAATCTGGGACACAGCATAATCTGCTCCCAGACTTCATATATCTGCACGATCCCACTTTTGGTAACAGAATTTCAAATTTGCCAAAGTGTTTTCTAGTCTTTAATCCCCACCACAACCCAGCAGCACACTGTAATTTTAGCAAAGCAACAAATGCACTAGCACCTTGAAGACTTAATGAATATATTATGGCATGAGCTTTATTAGAGTAGAGCACAGGTTCATCTTTCTTGGTTATCTGTGAAATTTTAATGAACAATACATTTGCTAGGCTTTAGGTCGGCACTGGACTTTTGGGCTCAGCTATACAGCTGCAAATAAAACATTTTAAGTGTGTTTTAAGTGCAATATACAATGTGACACTTGATGGCGATGGTGAGCCGTATGAAAAATTCAATGTATTTTTACAAACGCTTTTTTAAAAAAGCATTTTCAGAACAGTTTTTATAGGTGTGTAGATTCCACCATTGTTTCATTTTTTTCCTGAAGCCATGGCTAGTTGGCTACCCCTTTGAAAGTACTGAGCACCATACAATGAGGCTGTGACAGAAATGAGGGGTTTTAAATAAGGTGCCAAAATAAGTGGGCAGGGATTTTATTTAAGTGTGAAGACAAGAGTCTTGGCCGTTGGCTTCAGAGAAGGAAAACGTGTAGGCAATATCCTAACAATTCAAAGCATGCTGCTGCCTAGGGTGGTGGAACTATTATACCAAGAAATCATTCCTATCCACCACAGAATATGAGCAGGGGCAGGCATGGTGAAAAACTGCTTTTATTTAGCAAGATGATTCTACAACAGTAACTTAAGCCTGAAATATAAACTTCTGAAGACAGCATGGGCAACAGGAGAACCATGAATGGCACCTTGAGCAATTTGGGGGAGATGCCATTCATGATTCTATTTCTTCCCCTTGGTGTCTTCAGAGCAGCCCTGTAGGCTATACTGAGAGACAATATTTCTGTTGCCTGCGGATTTCAGAGCTTTTAGATGCCCCTCCATTGACAAATCAGCTTTAAATGACCCAAGCAGCTTGCATAATTTAGATTACTAGATTTAACCCATTCTCTTCACATTTCCCTCTTCCAAAAAGAAAAAAATGCCCAGAATTTATGAATGATTCCAATTGACTGATTGATTTTACTTACATGCCATTTTCGCACAACGAGGTGTGCCCAAAGCAGCTCACATCAAACATGCAAAACCTCAAAACTGGAAATACAGATATACAAAATACAGAACATGTCAGTAGCTTCAGAATAACAAAAGCCAACAATTTAGCAAACACTGGATAAATTCAGTATTAATGCCCCCCCCCCCAAAAAAATCTAGGCTGATGGGTTTACTAAAGTTTCAAAGCCAACACCCTAACATTAGACTCCTTTCCTAATTTATTCCAAATCCCAGTTAAGAGACATGAGAAGGAGGCGATGCCAATAAGGCCCCCTGAATTCCTAGGGGTTGCTAACTCTGTATTTTTCTGCCTGGAGATGGGTGGGAGGGACCACCTGGCAATAGCAATAGTTTTGGCATGGAGTGAAAAATCAATAATTAAGATTTTTAAAAAAAGTTTGGCTGAGCATTGCTAAGTTCTGATTGACAGGAAATGTCACCAGGAGTCCTTCTATGAGTTCAAATGGAAAGATAATGAATTGGGGTGGGGCAGGACAGGTTTGGCTTCAAGGTTGTTCTGATTTGTGGGGGCAACTTTCAGGAGTTGCTTGTAATTCCAGTTGGTAGGGCAGCGCCATGGCTCCCCTGGAGAGCGAACCTCCGCTGGGTTTAGGGAAGCATTTTATGCTCCTTTACGTGCTTTGCATTCTGTACCTGGAATAGTTAACAGTTCGTGTAAATGTCATAATATTTGCTATGGTTAACATGTTTAGTATAAGAAAACCCAGAGGGCCAGAACCCATTTTGTTTTGCTTTGACGTAATTTAGCAGGCTCTTCTTTGGATATATTTTTCGTGCGTGACCTGCTGTATGTCGTCTTCCTGGAAGTGGCAATACAGATGTACTGGGCCTTCCACACAGTGCCTGATGTTTTATTGTTATTGCATTTCATAAAAATTGTCAATAAAAAAGAAGGAAAGAACTTTTAAAAAGGAAATTACATTCATGAAGCAATTTGGGTGGGGGAAATAAATACACTGATATTTTGTTTAATTGTGGCCATAAAAATGTGTTTCTGGTGTGTTGCTATAAATCTGACAATAGATTAAGCGATATTCCCTCCCCCCCTCCAGTTGTTGGGGGGGGGGGGGAATAAGGAGATTTTCCAAGGTGTGAAAAAACCCTGTGTGTGTGTGTGTTGGGGGGGGAATTTACTTTTTTTCTGTTTGGGATAATGATAATAATTTATGCTCCAATACTCAGTGCACATTATATCTTTAAAGCACAATATTTCCCTCAAAGAGTTCTGGGCACTGTAGTTGGTTAAGGGTTTCTGGGAATCATTGACACTCAGTGAGGGGAGGGGTGAACTGCAGTGCCCAGAATTCCTTGAGGGAAATAATGTGTTTTGAAGGTGCTTTCAGGGTACAGTCTTATGCAAGCAGAGTCTTTCCACACCTTCTCATGTATGATGTCTATTCCAAACATTTCCAAATAAAATTTAGAGTTAATGCTGGCATAGGTTTTCCTCATCCCCAGCTCCCTAGCACAGCAGCAAAAGTGCCAGGAGCTTGTGGCAGACAGATGGCTCAGTGCGCAGAGCATGAGACTCTTCACCTCAGGGTGAAATATTCCTGCATTGCAGGGGGTTGGACTAGATGACCCACACGGTCCCCTGTAACTCAACAATTCTATGATTCTATGTATGGTGGTGGGGTGGTGGTGGTGGAAACTGCTCTTTTTGCTGCTGTGAGAAGGGAAACTGGCAACTGGTTCCAGCAAGTGTCTTCCTTTAAACACATGATGTGAAAATAGCTTCTCAGCATATTACTGCTTTGTGCAGAAACATTACTGGTTGAGGTAAGTAGTGTTGCTTTCTTTGTATTACAGTATATCAATTCTGTAGCAGGTTTTGCTTGTCGAGTGGCTTAAGACTGAAGATTTGGGGCTGAAACAACACATTTGATAGAAATGTGGCAAAATGGCAAAGGGAGGGAGCGGTTTTGAAAGGGAACCCAGTGAGAGGAGGTGGTGCTTATAACAATTCTATTCCATTTGCATCCCACATATTTCTCGTGAGGAGCTCAAGGTGATGTACACAGATCTTCCCCCTCCTCAATGGGTAGCGACTGGCCCAAGGTCACCAAGTGAGCTTCATAGCTGCGTGGGGATTTGAACCCTGGTCTCTGAGGTCCTAGTCCACTATACTATGCTGGCTTTGCGAGTGCAGAGAAACAGTGTGACAACAGGGGCCCCTTCTGAACAAAGGTGAGACATCTTAGGTGCTAAGCATTTGTACAACTGTACTGCTTAAGTATCCATTCTTAAGGAAATCAGCCCTGAGTGCTCACTGGAAGGACAGATCCTGAAGCTGAGGCTCCAAGACTTTGGCCACCTCATGAGAAGAGAAGACTCCCTGGAAAATACCCTGATGTTGGGAAAGATGGAGGGCACAAGGAGAAGGGGACGACAGAGGACGAGATGGTTGGACAGTGTTCTCGAAGCTACAAACATGAGTTTGACCAAACCACTTAAGGAAGGGAAGGGAAGGGGGTGGGATCCTTGCAAGGAGCCACCTCCTAGGCTTGTCCCGGCAATGCCAGGTGCCAACAGTCTCCACTGGGAACCAGTTCAACAAAATATGTACTGGGATACGCAATACTTGGGGAAGGTGAGGCAGGAGAGATTTTTGTGTGGCAAGAGAAGAACTGTGAATTATAATTTTATATTGCTCTGTACATTGAACACTGCTTTTCTTTTATATACTGTAAAAAATTAATACAACATAAAAAAACCCAAATAGTGATGCTGACACAAAACCCCACACATAGACTATATAAAAGAATATTGTGAAAATAATACTTTATTGCAACCTCTTCCTTTTTGTTCCTAGATTTTCTAGCAAGAAAGCAGCTGGTCTTTAAGGGGGCAAAAGCATTGGTAAGTTTGAACATTCTGGGACAGAATGGCCATTAATTAATTCTGATGTATTTTTAGTTATGTTCCATTAAATATGTACAGTGATGTGTCTCTAGTATTGGTGAGATGGAAAAAGGGGGCATAATTAATAGAGGAAAGAATGCACCCTTATGAATAGTGGCTGTGTTAAGTCATCTTTGATGACATGGAATTTCTAATTTGAGCCCTCAGAGACATATTTTAGACTGACTACCCTCAAGCTTGGGAAGTGAGCCTCCCTGACTGGAAAAAAACCCTACAGAGGAGCCTTGTTTAGTGTCTCAGCAGGTAGCCGTACATTAAGTGTAATTCTAAATGACAAGAGAAAACAAAGGCCAGGTTGTGTTATTAGAGGCACACTGCCGCTTCCTGACAGATGTGTGCGGTAAGGGAGAGAAGAGAAGAGAGTCCATGCTTCAGATCCTATCAAGCTTTAAATATTTTTGCTTTAAACATGTCAGCTTACGTTCTCTCGCCTTTTTCAAATGCATGATAATGGTGTAAGCAATCTCCTCTGGAAGGGGGAAGATGCAGCCAATCTCAGCACAAAAGAGCAACCCTCTCTAATCCTTTGTGCAGGCTGCATGCATTTCAGCCTTGTCTTTGGGGCTTGTGTAAGGATTTCTCTCCTCCTGCTCCCAGCAATGAAAAGGTCTGTGTAGTCATTTGAAAGCCACTGCAACAGCACAATACCTGATTACTTAATTTTGAGCAAGGAAGTTTACTGTATTTCAGTATTTTGCATATATGATCTGTGATGAGCACTGACTGTTGACCACCAGGGAGATCTCTTTGGAGCACAATTTTCTCAGTCCTGTAATGATGTTCTGACAGTGAGGTAGTGCTATTGGTAGCTGTGCTGTTGATCAAATAGATTGCTTTGTGCTGATTCTGTCGGACTCGTCTAGGCTGCTTAGCTCTGCCTCTGTGACTATAAGGAGAGTAAGCTGGGGGTGGGGTGGGGACTGGATCCAGCCTCTCCCAAACCCCACGGTCCATTTTAACTCAACTTCCTTGCAACACTTGGTGTGGTTTCAAAATTCATGGGGCAAAGACACAGAGCTTTGCAGATACAACCAGTCAGCTGTTCAGCAGTGTCTGAAAATACTCCTTCCTTTGCCTGGGCCTCTGCTACTATTGTCCCAAGTTCAGATATACCCCTCACATTTCCCTTTTAGTGCAAGTCTGTGCCAAATTGCTACACACACTCTGTCTAGGCTTTTGAGGTAGTCAGGGACTCACCTGGCTGAGAGGGGGAAAGGTGCCTTTGGGAAGGATCAGCTGCCTGTGGGAGAAGTTCCTCACACAGCCAATCTTCCAAAATGCAACTGTCTCTAAGAGGCTACTTTCCCTGGCTGCACATGCCTGAACCCAGGAGGGAACAGGCACACACAGCCAATCTGAGCCCTTTGCAAGTCACCCAAATTTCAGAAGTTGAAGGGACTGCTTAAAATTGACAAGCTGGAATGTGTGCAGAGGAGGGTGAGCAAGATGATCAAGAAAACAAGCCTTTTGAGGTTGATGGAACTGGGTAAGTTTAGCCTGGATAAGATGGTCATCTGTCATGGATGATTTAGTGGAGATTCCTGCATTGTAGAGGGTTGGATTAGATGACCCTTGGGGATCCCTTAATTCTGTGATTTTGTGAAAGAGGAATGCTGGGAGAGAGAATGGAAACTTGGCAGGCCAAAATTGGTTTATGGGCTGGAGGTTTGCCACCCCTGATCTGCAGATAGCCCTGGCATCCGAGCAATGCTCTTTGACTCACAAATGAAAGGCTTATTTCTTTCCCTAGGTTTCTCCATGCATTGCTTCCATGTTTACCTTCAAAGATGGGACTACACTTCAGGGTTGACGTACTCTACTCGAATTCCCCATTCCCCCAGCAAACCAGTGCTATTTTTCTAGAAAAAGAGGTGCTGGAACTCACCATGAACACCACCCTCATTCTCTGCTGGCAATGGCGTCCACCTGAGAGGTTCCTGTGAATTCCCTCTGAAAAAAGCCTTGGGTATTATTACACTATTATTATGCAAGGTGGTGTAAGCCACAGCACAGTTCCCTGCAATATGGGTATAATATGGATTTGTGACAAATCATTTGTCTGCAATAGCATTTAAAAAAAAAACTTTACAAGCTCAGGAAAAATAATAAGCCATGTTTGAGTATGAAGTAAGACCCAAGTTAAAAAGATTGTGAACTCCAATTTTTTCCTTGCAGTCTTTTGTTTTTGAGTTGATAAAGCACTCTCCAATCAGAGCTAGACTAAAATCTTGGATAACTGAATTGTTTTCTATTGGATGGCAATCACTTCTCCAGCAGGAAGGATAGAGAGAAAGGCTTAAAAATAAAGCAAAAAGTTCTTTCTACGTACAATGGGTGTTTTCCTCTAGACTTCTTTTTGTCCATTTGGCTATACAGGCTATTCTTCAATGTCAATCATTGTTCAGACTTCTTTCATTGACTTAATACTGACACAGGAACAGGCTAATTTCTCACACAGAAAGAAAGAAAGAAAGAAAGAAAGAAAGAAAGAAAGAAAGAAAGAAAGAAAATACAGCCTGTATATTTTGCCTTGTTTCTCAGGTTCTACAAGGGCAAAGGTTCAGGTTGCTGTTTATTTTTAAAGGATCCAGGGAATATGGTTGGGGGGGGGGAGCAAATGCCACCTTAACCCCCATGACCAGGCTGCTGTCTATTCAGGGCACCTCCATCAGCAACTGTGATTTTGTGTCAGGAGCAGAAAATGCATTTTCACAGCTTCCCTGCCTCAAGTACTACTTATTATGCTTTGTCACATGCGCTATTAAAAGCATGTATTTGTAGTAGCCTTAGTGCGCATCTCAGCAGGAAAAAATACAATATAACATATTGTTTTGTGGACAAGCATCACACCTTATGGTACAATAGTATATATTGTGGACTGTGCTATTGGTTCCTTAAAATTTATGTTCCTGCTACACAAAAGATTGGGAATACCGTATTGAGAAATGTTTGCATATGAACAACATGTTAAACTTGATTTGGTGTGGCATGAATGCACTGCAGCAAGACTTAGTCTTGCACACTCCCCCTCCTTCTGCTGGGCTGTGAGGAGGAGTCTGGAAGGGGTTGCTTCCGCTTTTGGATCACCAAAGCTTGTTGTGTTGTCTGTAGTAACAAACCATTTTGATCCATTAAGTGGTGGGGGTGGACCATCCAAATCAGTTCCACCTCCCTGCAGAGGGGAAGGGTCGCGTGGGTTCTTTTGCACCCAGAAGAAGGCAGAACGGAGGTGGAATGGGGTTGAATGGAAGGGGGGCAGGCCTTGCTTATATGTGCTCCGCTGACGAGCATGAGGGCTGGGAATGGAACTCCCACGCAAAATGGTTCCAACTTTTTCATACATTGCTTAGCAAAGAATGTTAGTTACCTATTCACCAATGTACAATTGCTGCTGTCCCAACTGGTGCCTCGTTGCTCTTCTTTTTCTGATGTTGATTGTTGACTTCTGTAAGTTGTTGTTAGAAGCAGCCTATATTTGTATTTCGGGAAGGACATTTTGTTATATGTATTCAATGCCTCATTGATGATGATGATGATGAATAAATAATATCTGCTCACCTGGGACTCCAAGTAGGCAACCGTTGTTGCATGGCGCGGCCGTGGTGGGTTTATTTTTTTTAAAAAAATTTTTTATTGGTTTTACAAAATTTTAAAAACAAACAAACACTTAAAAAGACATACAAACACGTATAATTTCATAATGTTTTTCATAAACCTCTTTTCTGAGACTCCCCCATACCCCCCCCTTTCTGCATCCCAATGTCCATAGTTTTATAGCAACTCCCAATGTTACTTTCCAACCTCTGTCCTTAGTTATCTCTATAATCTAACCTTATATCACTGTATCCCTTTGTTTCTGAAAACCATAACATTCTAACATTCATCAAGTTTATAATAGTCCTTAAGATAACTTTTGAATTTTCTCCATTCTTCTTCCACCGTCTCTTTTCCTTGGTCACGGATTCTGCCTGTCATCTCGGCCAGTGACATATAGTCCATCACTTTCATCTGCCATTCTTCCAGAGTGGGTAGATCTTGTGTCTTCCAATACTTTGCGATAAGTATTCTTGCTGCTGTTGTAGCGTACATAAAAAAAGTTCTATCCCTCTTTGGCACCAATTGGCCGACGATGCCTAAGAGAAAGGCCTCTGGTTTTTTAAGAAAAGTACTTTTAAGTACCTTTTTCATTTCATTATAGATCATTTCCCAGAAAGCCTTAATCTTCGGGCATGTCCACCAAAGGTGATAGAAGGTACCTTCAGTCTCTTTACATTTCCAACATTTGTTATCGGGCAAATGGTAAATTTTTGCAAGCTTGACTGGGGTCATGTACCACCTGTAAATCATTTTCATTATGTTTTCTCTTAAGGCATTACATGCCGTAAACTTAACACCGGTGGTCCATAACTGTTCCCAGTCAGCAAACATAATGTCATGACCAATATCTTGTGCCCATTTAATCATAGCTGATTTCACCGTTTCATCCTGTGTATTCCATTTCAGCAACAAGTTATACATTCTTGATAGATTCTTAGTATTGGGTTCTAACAGTTCAGTCTCTAGTTTTGATTTTTCCACCTGAAAGCCAATTTTCCTATCCTGTTTGAAAAGCTCCATTATTTGATGATATTGAAGCCAATTTTGTACTTTATGTTTCAATTTCTCATAACTTTGTAATTTCCACTTATCTCCATCCTGTTCCAAGATTTCCCAATACTTCGGCCATCCAACCTCCATATTGAGTTTCTTTACTGCTTTAGCCTCGACTGGTGACACCCATCTAGGGGTTTTGTTTTCCAACAGATCTTTATATCTTATCCATACATTAAACAATGCTTTTCTAACATTGTGATTTTTAAAGGCACTATGCAGCTTGATTTTGTCATACCATAGATATGCATGCCAACCAAAAACATTGTTAAAACCTTCCAGATCCAAGATGTCTGTGTTCTCGAGGAGCATCCATTCTTTCAGCCAGCAAAAAGCTGCTGCCTCATAGTACAATTTTAAGTCCGGCAGGGCAAAACCCCCTCTTTCTTTAGCGTCTGTCAATATTTTAAATTTGATTCTGGGCTTTTTGCCCTGCCAGACAAATTTCGAAATATCTTTCTGCCACCTCTTAAAACATTCCATCTTGTCAAGAATCTGCAAGGTCTGAAACAAAAATAACATTCTAGGCAATACATTCATTTTAATCACTGCAATTCGGCCTAACATTGACAATTTCAAATTTGACCATATTTCTAGATCTTTTTTAATCTCTGACCAACATTTTTCATAATTATCCTTATACAAATTCATATTTTTAGATGTCAAATAAACCCCTAGGTATTTCACCTTCTTAACCACCGTCAACCCTGTCTCCTCTTGGAATTTCTCCTTTTCCATATCTGTTAAATTTTTTCCTAGGACTTTAGTTTTTTGCTTATTCAACTTAAATCCAGCTACCTGGCCAAACTGTTGGATTATTTCTAGAACCTTTTTCGTACTAGTGTTTGGCTCTTGCAAAGTCAATACTAGGTCATCTGCAAATGCTCTTAACTTATAATGTTTAGCTCCGACCTGCACTCCTTTAACCTGCTGGTCATTCCTAATCATGTTCAGCAACACCTCCAGAACCGAAATAAAAAGTAATGGGGAGATTGGGCACCCCTGTCGTGTTCCTTTTTCTATCTTAAGCTCCTCAGTTATCACATTATTTACAATCAATTTGGCTTTTTGTTCAGAATATATTGCAGCTATACCGTTCTCAAAACCTTGTCCTACCCCCATCCCCTGAAGATTCTTTATCATAAAGCTCCATGAAATATTGTCAAAGGCTTTCTCCGCATCCACAAAAATCAGTACTGCTTTAGTATTTATATTCACCTCTAGCTTTTCCAAAATATCTATTATATTCCTTACATTGTCTGCTAGGTGTCTTTTTGGGAGAAAGCCTGCTTGATTCTTGTGAATCTTTTCCATCAACACTTTTTTAAATCTTTTTGCCAGAATGTCTGCAAAGATTTTGTAATCCACATTAAGTAGTGATATTGGGCGGTAGTTCTTCAGTTGAGTCTTTTCAGTCTCTGTCTTTGGTATGAGTGAAATGTATGCTTCTTTCCACGATTCCGGTGCCTTTTTTCCCTCAAGAATCTCATTACAGACTTCTTTTAATGGTTGAGTCAACCATTCCTTCAAGGATTTGTAGTATCTAGAAGTCAATCCATCTGGTCCTGGAGATTTGCCCAATTGCATATTCTGAATGGCATCCTCTATCTCTTGTTCTGTTATTCTCTGGTTCAGCTCTATCTTACTTTGATGAGAGATTTTTTGTAATCCATATTTATCAAGGAATTTATCTATATCTTCTTCATTTTGCGGGCCTTGGGTATAAAGTTTTTTAAAATAACTCAGGAAGCAATTTCTAATTTCATTAGGTTTAGATATGTTCTTTCCATCCACTTCTAGACTTGTAACTGTGTTTAATTTCTGCCTTTTCTTCAATTGCCATGCCAGAAGTTTGCCACATTTATTTGCTGATTCAAACGTCTTTTGTTTCATTTGCTTTATCTTCCATTCAATCTCTTGGTTCATCAATTCCATATATTGTGTTTGATATAACTTAATCTCTCTTAAGATCTCCTGGGACTTTGGTTTTACTCTTAATTTTTTCTCTCCTTCCTTTATCTTTTCCAAAATCTTTTCTTTTTTCTCATTTTGTTTTTTCCTCTTTATTGAGTTTTGTTGAATCAAGAAACCTCGCATCACCGCTTTGCTTGCGTCCCAGACCACTCTTTTCTCCACATCAGCCCTCAAATTTATTTCAAAATAGTCTTTTAAGGTTTTTTGGGCCTTCATAAGAATCTCCTTGTCTCGAAAGAGGGTGTCATTCATTCTCCATCTAAATTGACCAGTAGTTGTAAGTTTCATTTCCATCTTCACAGCGTTATGGTCGGAGCAAGTTTTTGGGCAGATTTCTACCTTCTTAATCTTTGGAGCCATACCACTAGTGATCCAAATTTGATCAATTCTGGTCCAGGTCATCATTGCTTGGGAGAAAAAGGTTCCCTCTCTCTCCAGAGGGTTCCTTGTTCTCCATATATCTATCAAATCCATGTTTTCCGTCATTTCAAAAAAGGTCTTAGGGAGTCTCCCTTCCTTGGTAACTGTTAATCTTTGTGCCTTGTCCATGTTAGTGGAAACCACACCGTTCATGTCTCCCATAATTATCATATTGTAATCCAGATAGTCCATTAGAGTTTCATGAAGTCTCTTTAAAAAGTCAGATTTACCTTCATTTGGTGCGTAGATTCCAACAACCAGAAATTTTTCTCCTTGTACTTGTATCTCCACTGCCAAATATCTCCCTTGTTCATCTTTAAATATCATTTTTGGGGCCCATTTCTCTTTTACATATATCACGACTCCTCTTTTTTTTACTTTGTCTGATGAGATAAATTCTTGTCCTAGTCTTTTATTTGTAAGTAATCTCCTGTGAGCTCTGGTTATGTGAGTTTCTTGTAGACATATCAAGTCCAGTTGTTCTCTGTTCAAGATGTGAAAAACTTGTCTTCTCTTCAAAGGCCCATTGAGCCCATTACAATTCCAGCTAAGGAATTGCAAAGCCATTTTGTTATTTCTCTGACACTCCTCCAACAGCTCCGAGTTGTTGCTCTTCCTCTGAAGGTGGTGGTTTGTGTCCACGCGAAAGATTCAGAATGTCTAATGCTCTCCTCTGTTCTGCAATTGGGTCCACTGTCCCCTTCTGCAGGTCCTCTTGATTTCTTCCCAAAAATTTGTCTTTGTCTTGAATAGTCTTTATTTTCACCTTCTTTCCCTTGTAGTCAAAGGACAGTCCCTGTGGAAATTCCCACCTGAAGCGGATGGAGTTTTTCTTTAACAGAAGAGCCAGATCCTTATAAAAGTTTCTCAAATCCAAAATATATTTTGGAATGTCTTTAAAAATCTGTGCAGCTGAGTTTCCAATTTGCAGGGCCTTTTCGAAATGTAGTCGTAGTATTTTGTCTCTTTCTTCCTTAGATCTAAGTGTAATCAGGCAGTCTCTCGGGGTCTTTCTGTCTTGCTTTTTGCCCAGTCTAAAAGCTGTTGTAATTTTAAATTCGTCCTCCTCCAGATCCCAGCAGTCTGCAAACTCCTGTGTTAAGAACTCCGCAAGGTTGTCACTTTCGTTCTCTGGAATCAATCTCAATTTCAAATTACTCTCTTTTCTCTGTAATTCCCACAGAGCCAAAGTTGCGTCGTGCTCATGGACCTTCTTAGCAATCGGTTCTAAATTCTCCTGTGTCTCTCCAGCGATGGCTCTCGCTTCTTCAGCAATTTTACGTGTAGTGGAATTTTCCTCCACCAGTTTGTTTATGGATTCTGTATTCTGATCTAGTCTTGCTGATATTTCTGTTAATTTTTGTGTATTTTCTGAAGTCTGTTTTGTCAGAGACTCCAGGGATTGATTTACCTTAAGCAGGGCCTCTGTCACAGCTTCCATAGAGACAGCTGTCACTTTTTCTTGTCCTGTTGTTCCTACAAGTCCGGCAGTTGCCCCTGTGAT